TGAAATGAGAGTTCCCTTATCCCCCTTGCAGGGCATGCGACAAGGGTATGGCTCACTCCTTTCATCTCCCTGTTGCTCAAACCCATAGGAGGAGCATGCAGACAGGCAGGTGCAGAGGCCTTGGGGAGCGCTTTTGGGCTTCGGCCTAATGGCAGCATCTAGGGATGGCTGGCTGTGACTCCTGAATCCCAGGTGGCCATGTGTTACAGTGTGCTCTTTCAGCTCTGCCGTCTGCAGATGGATTATGTTAATCAGCTCGATAGACCCTGTGCCTTATCGTAAGGGCAGTGTCCAGTGTGACGGGTTTCTGTACCCACGTTCTTGCCCAGCATACCAGAAGAGTCGGATGACACGTGGACTTGAAGGATGAGTGCAAGGTTTTATTGAGTGGTGGAGGCTCTCAGCAAGATGGATGCAGAACCAGAAGCAGGGGACGGAATGAGAAGGTGCTCTTCCTCTGGAGTCCTGCTGTTCTTGTTTGACATTGAGATGCCTCTTCCCTTCTCTGCTGTGCCGCCCTGCCACTCCCACTCTTTGTCACTCTCTGCCACTCTCTTTCTCTGCTCCTCTCAATGTTCAGCCACGTGTGTCTGTGCCTGCTAAGGTCTCAGGTTTATATGGCCATGGGATGGGGGCATGACAGGCCAGAGTGGTCTTGGGAAATGCAACATTTGGGTGCAAAACCAAGAATCCCTGTTCTCACTTAGGTCCGGGGGCACAGGCCCAAGGGTGGAGCCCTCGCCTGGGACCCCACTCTTCTCTACCCAGCACTTCCCTGCCTCCCTCCAGTATCAGTAGTAGAGTCTTGTGATAGGCTGGATAATGGCCCCCCAAGACATCCATGTGCTAATTCCCAGGATTTGTTGATGTTGTCTTACGTGGCGAAAGGAACTTTGCAGGGGTGCTTAAGTTGAGCATTCTGAGATGGAGAGATCAACCTGAATTACCTGGATGGGCTCAGAATGTAATCACAGGTGTCCTTACAAGAGGAACGCTTGCTTACAGAAGAAGAAATAGGAGATGTGATGATGGAAGCAACAGGTTAGAGAGATTCAAGAAAAGCATAGCCAGCCAAGGGAATGCAGGCAGCCTCCAGAAGCTAAAAAAATAAAAATAAAAATAAAAATAAAAATAAAGCAAGAGAATGATTCCCCCTAGAGCTTCCAGAAGGAACTAGCCATGCCACCACCTTGTCATTATCCCAATGAGACAGATTTCAAACTTCTGGTCTCAAGAACTGTAAGGGTAAGAACTGTAAAATAAATTTATGCTGTTTTAAGCCACAAAATTTGTGGCACTTTTTTACAGCAGCAACAGGAAATTAATAAAAGTCTTCCAGTGCTAGGGGTTGAATCTCATCACATTTCTAAGGCAAGCATTGCTTAGTATCTTGCTTATTTAAAAGATAAACTTAGCTAGTATAAACAATAGTGACCACCTAGATTGTATGCTATAATACTTGTAACTAAATGTAAGAAAAATGATTGCATACTCTTTGTTTTGTTGTTTGTTTTGAGACAGAGTCTCACTCTGTTGCCCAGGCTAGAGTGCAGTGGCACAATCTTGGCTCACTGCAACCTCCACCTCTCTGGTTCAAGCTCTTCTTGGACCTCAGCCTCCTGAGTAGCTGGGACTACAGGCACACACCACCACACCCAGCTAACTTTTGCGTTTTTAGTAGAGACAGGGTTTTGCCATTTTGGCCAGACTAGTCTCGAGCTCCTGACCTCAGCTGATCCACCCGCCTCGGCCTCGCAAAGTGCTGGGATTACAGGCATGAGCCACCGCACCCAGCCAATTGCATACCCTGGATCAAAAAACCATTTCCCTCAAGTTAGAATATGTGATATTTATTGTACATTGCGTGCCCTCTGCTGCTTACCCAAAGCTTTCTAAACCTTAACCAAACTCGTAAAGCTTATAAGCAGTGGGACAACTTGGAGCCTTAAACTCCCAAATTCTGAAATGTCTTCCGACACGATTTTCCATAGCAATCTGTAGCGTGTCTGGAGCAAGGATGGGGGGATCATGATTCAGGGGTCCCCAAGGAGGGTCTATCATAGACTGTTGCTTTTTAAAGTAACCAGTAGCAATGCTTTAAACTGTCATTGTAGATTTAAGAACCTGTGGTCCAAATGTCTCAGTTTAGTATGTAAAACCCTTTACCTCCAAGCTCCTGCCTATTTCTGCCTCTCTCCTTTACTTCAAGCCATCATGATTTACATGGTATAATGCTAATGGATCATTGTTTCACAGAAGTTCTTTCCATCCTTTTAGTTCTTTTCCACTCCTTCAGCAAGATGGAGAGCTCTCTCTTGTCCTTCAGCACTGAGCTTTGTATTTCCTTTTTATGCCAAACCAGGAAAAACAAATAGTAACTTTGCCAACTTTTGTTTGCAAACGCCTTTCATAGTAATCTATAATCTCACCAACTCCTTTAGAAAACAATCATCAATTTAACATTTTTTTCATCATGTATGAAAGAAATGATTTTAAGTAATATTTTATTGTATATCAACGTTTTAAACATTGTACTATAATCATTTCAGTATACCTTTAAATATTTTATTAAGACAAATTTCACTTTCCACAGTCATGTAGTGATGGGCTATATTTAATTTGTTTTAAAATAACTGAGTCAAGAAAAGCAAGTGTGTCAACAATGAATTGTAAAATGGTATATTTAGCTTGAAGACTGAATGTATAAGGAAGTATATACTAGTATGGCATCAAAAAAGACAAAACACTTTTACAGTATGATGTTGGGAATATTTGAAATTAAACATCAGTGGATCATTTTGATAATATTTATGTATTTATTTTTTGAGACAGAGTCTCACTGTGTCGCCCAGGCTGGAGTGCAATGGCAAGATCTCGGCTCACTGCAACCTCTCAACCTCCCAGGTTCAAATGATTCTCCTGCCTCAGCCTCCTGAGTAGCTGGGATTACAGGTGCCCTCCACCATGCCCGGCTAATTTTTGTATTTTTAGCAGAGACAGGGTTTCACCATGTTGGCCAGGCTGGTCTCGAACTACCTCAGGTGATCTACTCACCTCGGCCTCCCAAAGTGCTGGGATTACAGGCGTGAACCACTGCTCCTGGCCTATTTTGATAATTTTTAGGCTTTTCCTTCCTAAATGATGAGACTAGAGAGAAGTTAGCCTGCCACTTGCAAGCGTCCTCTCCAAATAACACATTGCAGGTGTGAATTCTGTTTGGCTTAAAAACCAAACTGAATATAATTTTCCTTGTATTTACTCCATTTAACGTTGGCATTTAGATTAAGAGTCATTCTGAAGCCATACCTAACATTTTTATCAGATGCATGCAAATAATGGAACCATCAGTCATCATGCAGAGGTAAACTTTCAGAATTAGTGTCTTTTTGTTCACTTGGTCTTATAACATCAAAATTCTTTATGCTTGTCATACTCAAATTCACATTATGAAAACAAATTAAATGCTTAGAATAAAAGCAATTTGTGTTTAACTGCTAAAGCTACTTTTCCGTGCTACTGCTATGCAGCTGGATAACTATTTCCAAACTGAAACACAAGCGCGCTTTTCTGATCCCTATCTGCTGTGCACGGTCACACGATATGCAATTGGAGGCTTGCAACGCATTTTATTTTGAAAGGGAGAAGCTAAATACTTACTGATATTTTTAAAGGAAGAGTTAAAAACAACTACCATTTCTGCCTTTACAAGGTGATCCCCAAAAGCCTTTCTAAACAAACAGTAGCTGGCAAATGCTGAAAATGAATAAATAGAATCCCTGTCCTTAAACACGTCCCAGGCTGGCAGAGAGAAGGATAAGTAAACAGGGTGGTGCAGGAAGCGATACGGACCATCGATGGGCACAAAGTATTATGGGAACACAGAGAGGAGCCACTAACCTGCTTTAGAATGCCCAGGATGATTTACTAAGAGAACCGACATGAAGGATGGCAACTTCGATCGGCCCAGAAGCCTTCTCTGGTACTTACCCAGGGTCTGATGTAGATGTCACTCGGTGGTCCCAGCAGCTTGTCTCAGCTGACAGCACACTGCTTATTATTGGTTTACTTGTTCATCTTTCTCCACAAAACGGTAAGCTCCTCAAAAGCAGGGACTTTGTCATTGTATCTACAGTGCCTGCTGATGCATAAGAACTGTCTGATAAGTAAATATAAGCAGTCTATGATGAAAGTACTTCTCTAAGACAGGCTGATGTTTAAAGACAGTATTTTTATGTCTACACCACGATATGTTTAAAGAATGAGTATTCGTGTTTGAAATGCTAATGCCAAATATTAGGTGCAAGCACAGGGTCAGGAACCATGGGAGACGCAAACAAGACACAATCACTGCTCTCCAGAAACTTAGTGTAAACTGGAGGCTTCATGGTCCCCACCTGGATCTAAACTGGCACATCTTTCATGTGTTTATATTTTGGAGTCCCACAGAACACTTTTTGTGAATAAAGGGCTCCATTTTGTTAAAAAAAAATCGACAACTCTGATCAAGTAAATAAGAAAGCTGTTTTCTAGGTGTAGAGTTTCCCCTTCCTTTTTAAGATTAGAAGGAAATTTAGATGCAAGGAATTGAGAATTTACATTTTTAGATGTGTTCATATTTCTTTGGATTTCATCTTAGTTTTCCCTCACCAGTTGCCTTTTAGCACCTAATAGGCAATCTGTAGCAATGTACAGATGTTATACAAGAATAAAAGTGCTCATTCTTCCCTATACACTGCAATATCACGTATTTGCTACTATCCAGAAAAAGGTTCTACATATATCCTTTCTAAAGTTACTGTGAAGTATCTTCAGGATCTATACTTCACAATGGTTATTCTAAGGTGTTTAATCAAAACCACTACCAAATTTCTCTATAGCATGTGGAATTTAACATCCCATTTTCAAAATAGAATGGTTTAAAATTAATTGACTTAAGATGCTGCAGATCCACATACAGTGAATCTTCTATGAGGTTTACAGGAAAAATGAGCCAAAAGACATATAGGTACGGTATTCTTTATTATAAACAATCAGATAACAGTGTAAGTGTGCATTTGATGGATAACCGAAGCCAAGTTATAATAGAAAGCATGACTTCACTCAAATAGAAAGTTTCTTTGTTGTTGATCTGTTTTACATTAATTTGAATTTAACATATGCTAGGATCACCTAAACTTGTCATACAGTTCTGCTATTAAAATCCTAACAGGGAAAGACAAAATGTGAAATGCATGTTATATTTTGCTTTATTTGTTGAATATATATATATATATACACACACTAAATATTTGGGACACATTCAAAGTTAAGCAGGTGCTTAGAGTCTATCAAGTGATATTTATGAAATGTTTTTGTTGCTGTTTTGTTGCTGTTATGGGAACATCCATATCCTCAGAAGACAATAAAAAAGAGGATTCTAAATGCTAGCTGGTTGGCTAACTTTTCCTGATTTATACTGAGTGTAAAACAAAACAAAACAAAACATAAGGTATATGTGTTAAGTAGTGACATCTTTATAGTTCCAAAACAGTGGCAACTATTAAAATATCATCCAGCTAAAACAAACTTTTCACAATTTTTTAACAGAAAAATAATAAACCAACAACAAAAACTGGTAAATGTTCTGGGTGTTGTTGAGCAGACCAAAATGTTACTACAGTGTTCTCTGTTGTGTGATCCTTGTCTGTGGCAACCTTAAATATGCACCGCAGTGCTCATGTTTAGAGGCTTAGCTGTCTGCTTCAATAGTTATCCTGGAAAGAATGCTATTCGGTTTTTTCTTTTATTGTCTACGTCAAGGAATGAGTGCTAAATGAGCACATTTAGAAGCCTGAAATCAAATACTGCATTCATTTTTTGAAACTCTTGGTAGCAAAAGAAAAAGCTGATTAAAATATGATTATGTTACAATGACTAAGGGGTTAACTTCTCATCACTTCTAAATTCTTCAAATTTTACAAGCATCTTAATAAAGGCTTTTGATGAGACATGACTGGTGATGATCATATGTGCCAATTTAGTAATTTATTTGTCACAGAAAATTCAGGTTCACTGCAAAATTGTGTTCTGGCTTCCCAAAGCTGCAGGGAAATAACAAGTTTTTTGTTGCTTGATTTCTGTTTAGAGGCAGGGTGTCACTTTGTCACCCAGGCCAGAATGCAGTCGTGTGATCACAGTTCACTACAGCCTCAAACTCCTGGGCTCAGGTGATCCTCCCACCTTGGCCTCCCACAGTGCTGGGACTACAGGAATGAGCCACTGCATCCAGATTGTTTTTTGTTTTTAATGTCATTTATGAGCCACCAGTTTAGATTAATTCTGTAAAGGTATAAGATTACCAGAGGAGGCCGGGCGTGGTGGCTCACACCTGTAATCCCAGCACTTTGGGAGGCTGAGGCAGGTGGATCACGAGGTCAAGAGATAAAGACCATTCTGGCTAACATGGTGAAACCCCATCTCCACTAAAAATACAAAAATTAACTAGGCGTGGAAGTCCATGCCTGTAGTCCCAGCTACTTGGGAGGCTGAGGCAGGAGAATCGCTCGAACCTGGGAGGCAGAGGTTGCAGTGAGCTGAGATCGCACCGCTGCACTCTGGCCTGGCGACAGAGCAAGATTCTGTCTCAAAAAAAAAAAGATTACCAGAGGATAAGTTCGATAGCTGGTAGAGAGATCATGAAAGCTATGTTTGATCTCTGGAGCAAAAGCTGTGTTGAAGTTCTCCCATGGAATGGTTCCCATATGAGACTCACCATATTAATGCCTTTTCCAAGAGAAGGGGAGACAGAGAATTATTGGAAAATAGGGAAGCAAGGAGAGGAACAAAAACCACTTTGAGACATGGAAGAAAAGTAGCATTTATACAAGGAATCCATTACCTGACTCTGCAGAAGAGCAAGGAAATAAAAATTTCAAAACAGAGATAAGAAATCAATTACATTCTTTCAAGCAAAAGACAGATTGCATTGTTTTGTTTGAAAAGTTCTGAAACATGATGATGTCTGTACAAACAGATGCACTATTAGATTCTTGGCTCCATGAGGGCTGGGACTGTCTTCTATTTACATTTGATACTACAGTGCCTAACATTGTACCTGACACCTATAGGTAGGTGCACAATACATAGTTGATGAACCAATCAACTACAGATTTTTCTAAACACTACATGAGCCACATATTACATTTTTCAATGTAAAGTGTAATAATTCTTTTCTATTGTGTATGTATGAAAGTTTCTATTAGATAACACTAGTCATTATAAGAGGTGACAGTAGTAGCTCAATCATATCTTTCTCACATGATCATTTCTACCTTGAATACAATTTAATTAGAAAAACTACCATGTGCACTAATGCTAGAAAGAGTTGAGATAAAATGTATAAATGAAGAAACTTCTTGGATTACTGAAGTGCTGTCTGTTACAAGCATAACTGCTATCTTAAATTGTATATTTTTAAAGAGGGTGTGAAATATTTTTCCAAGCAATGTAGTGTTTAGTGCATGGCAAGTATGTATATGAAAGTACCTGGAAATTTGGGGATTTTCCTCCCTCATCTAAAGTAAAATAAGAACATGTTTTTAATATTGTGTATATTTTTAAAAGATATATTATTCATTACCACTGTTCCCCAGAAATTATAGATGATTATGAAATTAGTATCACTTTACTTGGGAATTTATTTCCAGCTATGAGACTTTAGATAATCACTGGAGACACTAGGTTAAATAACTCATTGATCCAATAATGTGTCTAGATTTTCTCAAAGTCTTTACTGTTGCTTTAGTAATCTGCAAGGAGTTAATATTTGCCAAGAGGCAAGAAAACGTGGCAAAAGAGTGTCCTTCCCAGGAGACTGGAACGTGGGAAATGAGAAAGTGTAAGTCGACGTGTGACACTTTTCTCCAACCTTTGCTTTCACCTGCTTCTTGACACCAGACTGAAACACGTGCTATTCTGGCATGCTGCGCAGACTCAAAGTTTGCAGGATGGCATGACACAAACAACCAGGACAACAGGAGCCTGGTCTCCTCTGTGGAAAGCAGGAGTCTCCCTGGGTGGCTCTTGGAGCAAGTTCTGGTCTTATCTTGTAATTTGGGAAACAGCATTTCATGCTATTTTCGTATTTATTTTCCCATATTAGACTCTGTTTTTACAGCGGTAGACTGAGGGAACATGACTTTCGGCTTCACAGTTTTTTTTTTCTTTTCCAATCACAGTTTGTTTAAAATGTACCACTGAATATGAACACAGGAGCCCAGCTACAGGTATGTCAACCTTAGAAATAAAGTTTCTATGGATTATCTCATTAATTCATTGTACAAGCTTTTTTTGTTTTTTTTCTTGCCAATAGCGCTAAAAGTGACATCATTTCAACTGGAGGGGTTTCACTGCTTTGTTTCATCTGAGTGATATATGCTCTAGTGCTGCTAATACCTGACTTTTGCTGTATAAACAGTTTCAGTGTTTCTGTGAGGCCACACAACATGCTTTATAATGACACGGCTGACTAAAGCTGCCTTTTATTCTGCTAACACCCTGCAAATACTGTTGACAATACTGCCTCTCAATTGTTTCCTCCCACGAAATCTGCTGCTTATAGCACAGGCACCAAAGGCCTGCTTTTCCAATTGCACTGTGCTGGCATCAGGTTAACTAGAAAGCACAAAACAAATGGTGATTAAAAAAAATAGGAACAGTATACATTCTGTGTATTTACACATGCTTTTAGAAACCTCAGTTAGTTGCAAATCTGAAATGATACAAGCCACTCCCTGCAATAGCCTCTATCCTATGGAAATGCAGCTTAAGACATGACTGTTAAGACACTGAAGAAATGGGGTTATGTGGAGAGCCCATCTGAGTCAGAACTTTGTCCAGCCACTGCAGCGGCCCATGAAGATGAATCTCAATCCAGCAGGGGGTGCTGGTGACATCCTGACGATGATACTCAGCGCCCCAACCCTGAAAAACAAGAATGGAGCTGAGTGATGGTGCCACACTTACACTCAGCCTCCAGAGCCCCAGGCACAGCTCAGCAGGGGCAGAGCCCACACTCCAGGGTAGCTCCTGAGACCTGAGACAGAGAGAACATGGCCTCTACCTTCCTGTAAACACGGGTCAACTCTCGCACCAACCAGATGCCTTCAGATGAATCCAAATCAGTAAATTCCCTCGCAACTGAATACTCGGATCTAGAGAGGTTCTGGCACTCCAGTCACATGGGAAGCACTGAAAAATCATTTTCCCTTCCACAAAGGAAGAAACTTGACCTTTTGTTCACCCCTTCATGCCCAGGACAGTGTTTTGCTCGTTACTGCAGACCAGTGACTGGACCTGAAAGTCGTAAAGACAGAACTGGAAGGCGCTCTTGGTTTTTCAGGGCTGATTATCAAAGCTTGCTTGTTCTCTCTCGTTCTCTCTCTCGCTCTCTCTCTCTCTCTCTGGTTCACCTGGCAATTTCCCTTTTATCACCATTCAAAGGAGAGACAGTAAAAAAAAATTTTTTTAACTAATTTGCATATTTTTCTCTATATGTTATACACCAATGAAAAGATATTTCAAAATGAAGGGATATCACAGCCAAGTCCATCAGTTTTGTGACTGGGAGTGATCACTCTGTAGAGTTTTTTTAAAACTTGGATTTCAACACAACCATGCTGCCTGATCACATTTTACTTTCACTACTGAGAACCTCAAGCGGACCTGTGATGTCCCCGGCAGTCACAACCTACCCTCCAGTCCCCTCTTTCATGTCTCCCTCCTAGGTGACTGCTCCTCCCCACGAAAACCTCCAACCCCTTTTTCCCTGTCCATGCCTGCAACTGATGGATTTCTTTTGTATTTTAACGAGAAAAAGGAAGACATCAGAAATAAGAGTTTCCACAGGACCTGCACCCACATACTCGGCCTTTCTACCTCTTACCACAGATTAATTATCTATGTTTCCAAATAAGCTGGTCCATCCATTTATGCACTCTCAGACCTGCCTTCCCAGAGACATCATTCCAGCAAATCTTCTCCTCCTCTCCTGCAATCTTTTGCATCTACTATATCATTCCCGTCAACCTATGAACACACTTGAAATATCTTCCATCTTAAAGATGCTTCTCCACCCCCACCAGCTACTGCCCTATGTCTTTATTCCCTTTCTGGCAAAAACCCTCAGAAGAGTCATCCACACTGGCTGTCTCAATTTGTCTCCTTCTATTCTCTCTTAAATCCATTCTGATCGTTTCACCCCAGCCGCCAACAAAACTTTTCTTGTCAAGATCAAAAAAGGCCTTCATATTGTAAAAATGAATCATTAGCTCTCAGCCTTTGTGTTACGTGGGTAGCATTTGATTTAGTTCATCACACCCTCTCATCAATGCACTGTCTTCTTGGCTTCCAAAGCACCACACTTCTTGGTCTTATTACTACTTCACGGGCTGGTCTCTCAGTTTTCTTTGCTGATTCTGTCCCTTCTGTCCCATCTGTAAACGCTGAAGTGTCCCAGGGCTCAGTCCTAGAGCCCCCTTTCTTCTCTATTTTTATATACTATTTATTATTATTATTAATTATTATTATTATTATTGAGATGGAATCTGGCTCTGTCACCCAGGTTGGAGTGCAGTGGTGCGATCTCGGCTCACTGCAACCTCTGCCTCCCAGGTTCAAGCGATTCTCCTGCTTCAGCCTCCCAAGTAGCTGAGATTACAGGCATGCGCCACCACGCCTGGCTAATTCTTGTATTTTTAGTAGAGATGCGGTTTTGCCATGATGGCCAGGCTGGTCTTGAACTCCTGACCTCAAGCAATCCACCCACCTTAGCCTCCCAAAGTGCTGGGATTACAGGCGTGAGCCACCACTCCCGGCCCTTCTCAGTTTAAACTCAAACCTTTGGTGTTCTCATCCAGACTCAGGGAGTTAAATACTGTCCCTTTGCTGACAATTCCTAAACTTGTATTTCGAGCCCAAATCTCTTTCCCCGAATCCAGACTCTTACATCGAACTGGCTACTCAGCAACTCCACTTGAATGTGGACAGACATCTCATACACCTGCATCTTCTCCATCTTGATTGAAGGCAACTAACTTCATCTTCCTCTTTTTCTCACTCCCACGCCTCATCCGCCTTCACAATTCAGAAGCCTTCCACTTCTCACAGCTGTACTGGATCCGTCCAGGTGAGGGCGACTCTCACCTGAATATTGCAATAGCCTCCTAACTGGTTTCCCTACTTGCAACCTTGTCTGTATAATACCTATCCTCCACACAGCAGGCAGGGCAATCCTTTAAGAACAGAAGTCAGATCATGAAAATGCTCTGCTCCGATCCCTGCAAAAGCTCGCCACCTCCTCAGAGTCACCGATAAACTCCAAGGAGTAGCTCAGGAGGCCTCGCTGCGGTTCCCTGCAGCTGCTCTCATCACGCTCCCCCTGCTTATTAGGCCCCAGCCACACTGGCCTGCCTGCTCTTCAGAATTTCCAGGTGTATGCTGTTGCCTTGCTCTTCCTCCAGAGGTCCCTGGGCCTAGCTCCATGTCTCCTTCCAGTCTCTGCTGACCTGTCACCTTTTCAGTGAGGCCCACCCTGATGTGCAGATGATTCCACTGCCCCCGTGCTCCAATTCCCTTCACCCTCCCAATTCCCTGCCCCACACTTTCTCTTTCCATCCTCCTTCTGTGTTATGGCTGTTGTTTATTATCTGTTTCTCCTTCCTAGAATATTGGTTCCCTGAGGGCAGAGATCTGTGAGTGAACATTGCTATGTCCCACACGCCTGGCTGCACATGGTAGGTGCTCAATAAATATCTGTTGACTGACTGAATGAGTCCTAGAATCGGTAAAAATCAGAGCTGAAAGAAACCTTAAAGAGATCTGATCCATTAGCCCGGTGGTAGCTACAGTTGCTCATCTCAAATGTTTAAAAAAATGATCTATAGTTATATTTACTATGTATTTATTTTAAAAGTTCCTGCAGTATTAGGAACGCTTTGTCTTCTGTGTCAATTGTGTAGCTTTATGAATTTAAATGTTGTCTATCTGAGAAATGTATCTAGTTATCAGGAAAATCAGATTTCTAAATAAGCTTATATTTAATTAGAGTGAAATAATTACCTATGAGATACTGGCATTTCATCCTAATTTTAAAAACACAGACCTGGACAAAAAAAAAACTGTATGATTCAAATGATGCCCTCTGCCGTTTCTAAAGCAACAGAACATTTGAAAAGATTTCCAAGTTATTTGTTAATATAACTTTATAATAGATGCTTTTAAAACACTAAATTTGAATGAAACTGCTTTGTCACCATGAAAGAGAAATAATTTTAAGCAGCTGTTTTTTAAAATTGGAAACTATATTGTTCTTAGTTTTTAAATAATTACTAAAATTATAAACAATAAAAACAAAATTTGAGTGTAGAAAAATTCTTTGTCATGGTAATTTTAAAGTGCTAATAAAATTTACTTTGAAAAAAATGCCTGGAACAAGCCATGCTGATTCCTTGGATGGAGGCATGGCAGTATGAAAACTGTCACACATACCTGGATACTTTGATAAGCCCAGATTTTGAAATATTAGACTGATTTGCGAGTACTTGGCAACAGATAAAATAGCAGGTGATGAAACTGAAGGCTTTTGCTTCCATATACAAACCCAGTTGTTTTTCCTTCCCACTAAGAAACTTCCTTGGTTCTCCAGCCTTCATAGCAACCCTAATAAGATTCGAGAAATTCAACAAATATTCATCCACAGAACATATACTACTCTCAGAATTAATCACACCCACCTCATGTTTCTATTCCAGATTGTTTATACCTTCATAACACTACTTAATTTACTGTCTTGTATTAGAACCAATCCTGCCTATTTTGTAGCTTATTCATAATGATTATCCCCTCCATGTGCCTGTATGCTTTCTAAGAGTAAGGAGAGTATCTTACTGAATTCAGATAAATTCGCCACCATTCACTGAGTGATAATAGTGCTTGGCAATCCGAAGGATGGAAAAATCTCTGTTGCACTAGTCCTGTAAAATTACTGTTGTTACTTTATCATCTGCATTAAAAACAGAGAGCCACCTTACTTGTTTTTCCTCAAAAGTAATGTGTCAGAATTTTCATATAATTGCTAAACAAGACAGTTTATACTCAAAGAGGAACTCCTCCTAAAAACAACAGAATTCAAAAAAATTGCTTTTGGGCCGGGCGCGGTGGCTCACACCTGTAATCCCAGCACTTTGGGAGGCCGAGGCAGGCGGATCACAGGCCAGAAGTTCAAGACCAGTCTGGCCAATATGGTGAAACCCTGTCTCTACTAAAAATACAGATATCAGTCAAGCGTGGTAATGCACGCCTGTAGTCCCAGCTAGTTGGGAGGCTGAGGTAGAAGAATCGCTTGAACCCGGGAGGCGGAGGTTGCAGTGAGCCAAGATCATGCCACTGCACTCCAGCCTGTGTGACAGAGTGAAACTCCGTCTCAAAAAAAAAAAAAAATTGGTTTTGTCTATCTGAATTGACCGCAGAACTGCCACATCAGTCAGGGTGCTGTTTTGTTTTGTTTTGTTTTTCAGTGAACATTTTATAATGTGATAGCAAGCACTCCTTACCTTAACAAAACTCATCCGGATAGTGCACATCTTGGTCAGTTCATACACAACTTCAAAGCCGTGGTGAACTGACTGGGCCAGGAGCTGAGCGAAGAGCTGGTTGTTGAAGACCTTGAGGCTGCAGCCGCTGGGGATCTTGCAGACGGTGGCTGGGTGGAAGCCGTGTTGATAGTTGCAGTTCCGGCTCTGCACAAAGATGCTGCTGTCACTCACACACTCGGCATACACCTCTCCCCCGACGTAGTACAAGTGCACACCTGCAGACACAAACACACAGCCTTCCTTCACATGCCCTTTCACAGCGTGCCTCTCCCACTGATTCCTGAAACCCTAGGAGATGTGACTCTCCCCTGTCAGGTTCATTGTCAGATCACTGATCAGATGAATGAGATGTGTGACCTAAATATCACTTAGTTTAATTATAATCTGTGCTTTTTCCATAAATCCTTTTAAAAGTGGATTGCAGCCGGGTGCAGTGGCTCATGCCTGTAACCCCAGCACTTTGGAAGGCTGAGGCGGGCAGATCATTCAAGGTCGGGAGTTCAAGACCAGACTGGCCAACACGGTGAAACCCCTTCTCTACTAAAAATACAAATTTAACCAGGCATAGTGATGGGCACCTGTAATCCCAGTTACTCGGGAGGCTGAGGCAGGAAAATTGCTTGAACCTGGGAGGCAGACGTTGCAGTGAGCCAAGGTAGTGCCATTGAACTCCAGTCTGGTGACAGAGCAAGATGTCATCGCAAAAAAATAAATAAATAAAAGTGGATTGCCACCCATGTTAACAATCACCCCCAAGAACCAGTCAGTAAGGTCTCATATACTATTCCTCCCATCACTCCTATTTGTTCCAAAAATAAGGTTTTGTAATATTAGAAATGAACTGAATATATCATGTGGAAAAATCAAATAATCCTTCATGTACATACACAAATTTTATTTTATTTTATTTTATTTTTTTTGAGACAGAGTCTCACTCATCACCCAGGCTGGAGTGCAGTGGCACGATTTCAGCTTACTGCAACTTCCGCCTCCCAGGTTCAGGTGATTCTCCTGCCTCAGCCTCCCAAGTAGCTGGGATTACAGGTGCCTGCCACCACGGCTGGCTAATTTTTGTTTTTTAGTAGAGACGGGGTTTCACCATGTTGGCCAGGCTGGTCTCAAACTTCTGACCTCAAGTAATCCACCTGCCTTGGCCTCCCAAAGTGCTGGGATTACAGGCATGAGCCACTGCGCCCAGCCTACAAATTTTAAAATTTAAAACTGTATACAGTTAATATCATGAAAATGTTACTTAAGTGCACATATTAAACCCACTTCAGTGGAGACAATAAATGACGCTTAAAAAATTTACCAACACTTAGAAATCTGTTTCTCTTAACAAATACCTCGGAGACCTATTTCATTTAAGTTTGTCATCCACTAATATCAATCATATAAATAATGTCTATTTTTTATTTGTGAACAGTGAAATTTCTACCACATTTTCAGATACGGTAATATAAAAACTCATAAGCAAAATACAGCCTGTATCACTTCATCTAATATTCTTGGAATTAAAGTTCAAAAGAGCATCCTGAGGCTAGGCGCTCACACCTACAATCCCAGCACTTTAGGAGGTCAAGGTAGGTCAATCACTTGAGATCAGGAGCTCGAGTCTAGCCTGGCCAACATGGTGAAACCATGTCTCTGCTAAAAAATACAAAAATTAGCTGGATGTGGTGACACACGCTTGTAATCCCAGCTACTTGGGAGGCGGAGGCTGCTGCAGTGAGCTGAGATCACGGCACTACTGCACTCCAGACTGGGCGACTGAGTGAGAGTCTACCTCAAAAAAAAAAAAGAAAGAAAAGCATCCTGAGAATGTTGCTGCTCATGCTAATTTCCATTCCAAATTAAATTTTAGTTGATTCCCTCTAAATGTCTGGGTTTGAGAGTTAATATAAATGTATAGCAAGGGACTGATGTTAGAAAAAAAAGAAGACATTCTAGTCTAGTGAATATTAAATATCAGAACAATTTTACTCCAACTTTTGATGGGAAAAAAAGTCTCCAGCACTAGAAGTCAATGTGATTATACATATGATCACTGCAGTTAAAAGGTGTTTGTAGAAACAATCCAGAATATACTTATATATTTGGGGTCTCCTCAAAATGAAATTGTGAAAGTTTTAAAGAACAGAACTTACAGCTTCCAGGGCTGCTCAGGGCCCCGTGTGCATAACTTAGAATGTAGGAAACATTACTGATGTAGCTGCTGGGAGTTTGTCAGGTCCTAAATAACACTTGACGCAGTTCTGCATTATATATGATTACATCCCACCATATTTATTGTTTCCTTTTCCCTTAATACAATTTTAGAAAAGAACAATTTTGAGTAGTATGTATCCCAACCACATCATTCTGAAGCAACTGAGCCAGGGTCGCACAGCTAAAGCACAGCCCTGGATATCCAGGCCACGATTGTCCTGTCACTGCCTCTCCTCTTCCTCAGCCAGAGACTGGCTCCCCTTCTCCGCTTCCCTCAGCCTTCCTCTCCCTCCTCTATCTCATCGCTGCTACCCACTCTCCTGAATGGCCTTCGGCCCTAACCCCAGGGCCTAGGCGGTGGTGCCAGGGGGCAGAAGGATGGTCCTAACTGGCTGGGAGAGTTACTTGGCTGGACCCTCACGATCATAAAGAGAAGCCCAGGCTGGGGCAAAATGCAAACACCGCCTCCTACAACCACCCCTGTGGGCTCCAAAGGGGAAAGGCCTGCCTTGTGGGGGTGGGCAGAGGTTCTTTCAAGAGGGAAAGCAGGTAAAGGAGCCAGAGTGGAGCTGCTAAGGATTTAGTCGATATGTGAACTGAATGACCTTCAAATATATAATCCTCTCAAAACCTATTACATAAGATAAATACGATTTTTTTGTTATGTGAGTCTAGTCTTTGGGGGTTGGTTTTCAATCATGTTCAGGTCATCTGCAACCACAGTCCACTCTGGCAAAGCTACCAACGCAGAGAAGAGCCTGGGCAGGTAGGCAGTCATCCAGCACCCTGAGAGAGAAGAGCAGAGCCAATGGCACCAGCACGGGGAGCCCGCCCAGAAACACCAGGAAAGGGTGGAACCCAGCCTCAGGGTGAAGGAGGCCGGATTCTGGCTAGAGACACCAGCATCTGAGGAGGAGTCAAGCAGGCCAACGATGTTATTTGCATCCATCTGGTAGGCCAAAATAGTAGCTTTAAAAGCTAGTGTCAGATTCAAGATCACCACAGAGTAGAACAGTGGTTCTTAAACCTTAGCTTGCAGTAAGACCACTTGCAGGGCTTATTAAAACAGATCACTACTTCAGCAGGTCCAGGGTGAGGCCGGGTGACTTGCACTTTTTTTTTTTTTGAGATGGAGTTACCCTCTTGCCGCCCAGGCTGGAGTGCAGTGGCGTGATCTCGGCTCATTGCAACCTCTGCCTCCCGGGTTCAAGAGATTCTCCTGCCTCAGCCTCCCGATTAGCTGGGATTACAGGCACCTGCTACCATGCCTGGCTAATTTTTTGTATTTTTAGTAGAGATGGGGTTTTGCCATGTTGGGCAGGCTGGTCTCGAACTCCTGACCTCAGGTGATCCGCCTTCCTCGGCATCCCAAAGTGCTGGGATTACAGGCATGAGCCACCACACTCAGCCAGTGATATTCCCTTAAATGGTACAGGAAAAGCATGAACATGTCCAGATTTTACTGCAGCCTACATTCTGACAGTCCTTGTATGAAATGCTTAAAAGAGACATCATACCTATCATTGTTGCCATCAAATATGCCATTAATATGTTCATTATTGTAATTAAGAAGCATTAGAAGCTTCTGGAAGGAAAAGCTAATGTCACAATCCTGCAGCCTCTTCTAACTCCTAGCAATAAGGAATAAATGCCCCAAAAGAAGTACTGCCTGAGATCATAAAGAGAACCCTGGCAATGCGGCCCTCAAGCAAGTTCCACCCACATCTTGAACTATGTATGTGCTTGGGCTGTGTCTTTCTTTAAGGGCTGTTTCTTTCTTTATCTGAACTTCTCACTTGAGTGTGACTGCCACCCACTTTTTATGAGATCAGGGAGTGTGGAGTCCTGTGTTGTGGTTAATGAGGACCAGAAGAACCTTGGGTTTAATTTGGGTCTGCTGGGTCGAACTACAAAAGGGTGTCCCCTTTTAATCCTCTTCTGTTGTCTCGAATGACAGGAAATGACTGGGAAGAGGGTAGGTTGGGCAGGCTGGTGAGAGTGTGCCAATCTCTGGACTCTACTCACAGAGGAGGAAGTCAGTGTCCCAAAGTGGAGGGAAGGTGCAGGGATACCCTCCTCACTGGGAGGGAGGCAGAAAGACCACCATAAAAGGCAGAGTGTCCTGCAGAGAGAATGCCGAAGCCTCTCCACAACTCTTAGGATAAAGCCTAAACGTCCCAGCGCAAGCACAACACCTCCTCTTGAGTTTGTAATGAATCTTTCCCTTGCCTTTGTTGCCTTTTCTTCTGCACAGCGATTTTAGAAGCTTTAAGAAAATATATATATTTCTGAGTGTAATAACGGTATTAAAAAAAATTTCTTATATAGTTAGATATAAACTCCAATAGATGGGAAAAAGGATATGAAGCCTGAGATTTGCTCTAAAATATTCTAGCAAAAATACTGTAGAGCGATAGATGAAAAAGAATGGCACAGAATGTGAATCTTTAAGACTCATTGTATTCCCCCGTTTTCCTATTTCAAATTTCCCACAATAAAAAAAGTTTTAATGGGTGGTAAAAAAAATACTAATAATATAAAAATACAGACTTCCAGATCCACACCAGGGCCTAGGTCAGAGGATGGAGGCAGGTCCACCACAGGACTGTGCCTACCGTTGTGCACTGCACAACCACTGCAACCCAGGGTTTGCCTCCTAGTCTTCAGAGCTTTGTGTAATTATTACAATCCTTTCCCAGCAGATGGCAGTAGTTTCTCTTGAGGAAGACGCACCTTTTCCTAACTCACACAAAGTCATCACTGGGCTGACAGCAAGGCTGGTCCCCTAAGACTGTCCCTGATGACTGAGTCTCTCAGCACAACACGATGAACAGCTTGTTTGGGTCCGACTGCACTACACAGCATGTTCCATCACTGCCACTCAAACACGCAGCCACTCTGCCTGGGCTGCACTGTGAGGTGTCTCCCTTACCACTGCTGCTGCCTTCCAGAGCATCCTTACACACCATGCGCATCCCATCCTCACAGGATCGAGAAAGCCCACTAT